CAAAACTTTTAACTTCTGCGCCTGCCACCTTGCAGTTGATCAGGTTGATTGCGGAAAATGATGGTGCCGGCGCCTGCCACCGGTGGAGTTCAAGGGATTGATTGTCAGATCCCTGGACTCTGCGTCTGCCACCTGTGCAGTTTACCAGGTTGATTTTCAAAATGTGGGTGTCCGCGCCTGCCACCGGCGGAGTTCAGCGGGTTGATTGTCGGATCTCTGGTCTGCCTGCCACCCGTGCAATTTACGAGAGTGATGGATGGTTGGATCAAGTTGCATCCTTGTTCTCTGCGCCTGCCACCTGTGCAATTGACCGAATTGATTTTCAAACTGCTGAAACTAAACCGACTTTCTAAAGTGCTGTAACGCATCCGAAGGACATTGATCTCACACATATTGTCTGCATTTACAATCATCACAATCAGTATCTGAATGTCAGTGTGTGAAATACAGAGAGACGGGACACTAAGCAAAACCACCATTTAGTATGATGTTGCGCGCGGGCATATGAAACATTCCCATGAAAAGCTGTACCTATCCCTGGTCTCTGCGCCTGCCACCCGTGCAGTTTACCAGAGTGATGGTTGCATCCTTGGTCTCTGCGCCTGCTACCCGTGCAGTTTACCGGAGTTTTCGCCCACAACGTCGTGATGGTTCAATATGACGCTGCAGGTTTTGTCGGCCATGTTCTGTTGAGTGGTTCTCACGCTGGCTTGTCCTGAGATTGTTCCCTTTGCCTTGCCATGTTGTTTGTCATGCATTTGTTTTGAAGCCCCTCTCCGCTCAAGGAATTGCCGGGAGCCGCGGTCCCAATTCCGCGGGCACAGCCATGTTCAACTAAGGATGACTGATTGCTGGGGTGAGGGTGAGCTGAAGGCATGGCTTCAGCTCAACCTGTGATACACCAACAAAATCTTCAGCAAAACCGGAACATCCATGCATGTGTCACAGTGAAACGAAGCATCAAAAGAGCGCTGCGACAATATTTTTTGCAAGGCTGGACAAGATACCATGGCCATCTCATCAATTCAAGCGATCGACTGGCCGCCTTTTTCCCTAGGCATGATATTGAGTTTGTGAAAGCACAGATCAACACAAAAAGAACATGGTGGTTTGAGAGAGACATGCATTTTCATTTGCGCCGACAAGACTGTGCGGTTCTCCTAACTGCTCCGACGAGGCGGCCTTTGCGAACACGCGCTGGCCAAAAATCTGTTGCGCTACCTTGTTTGAAGCTTTTGAATTACAACTGCCAATCCTTGGGCCAACAAAGCACACGTCTGCAAGAGCTTTGCGAAGATTTGCATACAAAAGACATTGCCATTGCTGCTTTGCAAGGCGCTAGGTGGCCTTCAGCTGACCCACGCAGCGAGTGGATAGTGAAAAACTACTCCGGCTCACCGCGGTTCGCTTGTTTCAGCTGGGGACGGACAAGCTCTAATCGCATGTTGGGGGTGCTTCCTTTGGTGAGCACGCAGCTTCTTGCAGATGCTTTTGTCCACACACGCTTTGATCCTCCGAGGGGTCTGCAAGGTAGACTTGGCGGAGTTCGGCTGGTTAGCCGGCAACCTGGACGGGAAATGGATGAACTATTTCTACGCGCATATGCCCCACAGGAAACGGATGATCTGAGCACCAGGCAAGCTGTTTTCCAAGCAATGCTTGAGATCATTCATTCAGTGCCCCGGCGCACCCGGGTATGGTTGCTAGGTGACTTCGATGGCCATGTTGGCGCAGAGTTTCGGAGCTCTGCTGTCAAGCAGATCCAGCCCCTGTTCGAGCTCCTGCTGGGAGCCACAGTCTGGTTCAGCTCCTTCGAAGCCTGCGCCTTGTCTGCATGTGATTTCAGCTGTGCACATCATGTGATTTCATGTCATTTCCTTCCAGATTTTTATAGTTTTTTTTGCATAGGGTTGAGGCGGGAGGCGTCTGCAGGGACCTCGGGGCGGAAGCGTCCCAGCCGCTTCCCGCGTGGAAAGGTCGCGCAAAATGGCATACTAGGGATGTTTTGCATATCTCAGGGCTTCCTGATCTGCGAAGATCTCAGCTCCCCTTGAAGGCGCACGCCGTCCTCATGGAACGCCTCTTCAACGCAACGCACACCGAAATGCAAGAAGGTACATCCTCCTCCTGTTTCTATGCCTCGGTGATCAAGTACTGCAAACGCAGATCGAGCGAGGCGGCAGTGAAGGCAAAGCGGGAGTGCTCCAGCAACTGTACGCTGGCTTGCGTGGCCCGGCATCTCGTCCTTATGTTGCAGTCTGATCAACCTCATCTCTCGCCCCAAACGTCCTTCATCCAGGGCCCTTTCCAGCTCGAGTCCACCTCCTCCTCCGCATCACTCGTCATCGCCACCAGCTGAAGCTGGTGTTCGAAGCGTTCCCTCTGCGTCGAGGTCCATGACTTCACCTGTCTGTTGCCTCCCTGGCTGTCTCTTCTGCCCGATCGGCTGTCTCTTCTCACGAGTGAACTCAGACGGCTCACCTGGCTGCGTCTCTGCATCCCCGATTCGGGCCAGCTCATATCAGGTCCGGGTGGCTGCCACGGAGATAGTCCTTGGCTGTCCAGCAGTCGGATGTGCATCCTCGTCACATCTGGCTATCAATGCCACCACCATCAGTTGGCGGAGCATCCTGAGCCAACACACCTTCAAAACAGGAAGGGAGATTTCCTGGTCAGCAGCCCTGCCTTTTTCCCCAACAGCAAAACTTTGCTATGGGGTCTTTAGCCAAGATTAGCTCTGGGTTCCGGAGGGTTCCGGTTCAAGTTCCGGAGGGTTCCGGTGCAGATACCTGGTGAGGTTCTGGAGGGTTCAGGTTCTGGAGGGTTCTGATGCAGATACCTGGGTTTCGGTGCAGGTAGCTGGTGAGGTTCCGGAGGGTTCCTGTGCAGATACTGTGTTGAGGTTCTGGAGGGTCCCGGTGCAAATACCTGGTGAGGTTCTGGAGGGTCCCGGTGTAGATACCTGGTGAGGTTTCAGAGTTTCAATGCAGATAGCCGGTCAAGTTGCGCAGGCTTCCGGTGCAGGTACTCGGTAAGGTTCCAGAAAGTTCAGGTGCAGGTACCTGGTGAGGTTCCGGAAGGTTTCGGTGCAGATTTTAATGGCATAAACATTTAATCTCTTTTGGGCAGAAAAAACGCCGTATCCGATGCACTCATATACTTGTAGATTTACTTTGCAGGAGGGGTGGGGGCACGGCGTGGCAAAAAAGAAGTCGATGCATAAATGGTTGGACCAAGCACTTTGCAAACCGAAGCAAAATTCTGAAGGAGCGAAACGGCAACGTAAATCTTAACACGCGCGGGCTTGCAGACGACTGACAAATAGACGGCCGACGAAAGTTGAAGAGTCATCTCGAACCGTTACAACATCGTGGGTTAAAAACAGCAGAGACATGGGTGACAGCGACTGAGTACAAGATGTGCGGGTAATACGATTGGCGTCGAATCAAGGTACGATTGTACGCAATGCACGACAACTTTTTCATGACTTTTTGCCTTTTTGCTTAGTGTCCCGTTTCTCTGTATTTCACACACTGACATTCAGATACTGATTGTGATGATTGTAAATGCAGACAATACGTGTGATCAATGTGCTTTGGGTGCGGTACAGCACGTTAGAAAGACAGTTTTTTCATGAAGCACATGTATGAGATTAATGTCCAATACCAATCATTGCAAAAACTAGATCGGCAAAAGACGTTGGCAAAAGAAAACAACTGACAACGCTGAATTCGACGCAAAACCTGTTCGATCAAGCGCAGCGCGCGCCAAAACAAATGCTCTTCGCTTGCTGCCAACTAGTGGGTTTGAAAGTGGCTGCTTAAACAGAGAGCTTACACCACTGTAGTGTGAGTCACAGTCTTCGACTGCGCGCTTGGCCTTCTGGCCGTTGCGGTTGCACCCATCTCATAAAACCATTGAAATCAAAAAGCGATCCTGCAACCCCATTCAAGGCAATGAGGGCTTGGCCCGGAGGGGGCTTGAAACGTCCCTCCCATCAGACACTGCCAAACAAATCAAAACAAACCAAAAAAGAAGCAGCACAGAAGAATCAAAAAGGGGGGTGCAAGAAAAAAAGACTACTTCAGTCAAAATCAAAAAAGGCTCTCTCATGCGTACTTATTCAGTGGATCTTTGCTCTTCTGCTTTCCGGCCCAAATCGCGGGCAAGGGGCCCCACTGGGGCCACATCTTTGGGTTCGGCTTGGAGTGCGTCCAGCGATGCGTCGATCCAATCATAAGCTTCCTGCCACGCAGCCACAGCACTTTGCCGCGGGCGGATTTTCAGAAGGATGCGGCCATCACGGATGCTCTTGGCAAAGCACAGCTGAATGCTCTTGCTCATGTCTTCTAGCTTTGTCATAGAATCATGGAGCTCAGCCAACTTCGTCATCACCTGGCAGCGGTCCTGAGATTTCAGAAGCCACTGGGCCAGGGCAGCTGCAACTGTGTGCCGCGCTGGTCCATCGGGATGAGCTTGGCCTTTGGGAGGAAGCTGCTGCTTCCATTTCTCCATGTGCTCCATCAGATGGGTGGCCAACTCGGAGTCGCTGGCAAGGATGTAGGTGCGTGTTGCCCACGCATCTAGCTCGCGAAGAGACACACCTTCTGAAGCTGTTAGGCCAGATCCTCCACCGTCTTGGCTGAGCTCGGCGGACGGCTGTTCCCATGAAGATCTAGACGACCTCGCTTGGAAGCACGGGCGGTTGGGCTCGCCGCTGAGAGGAAATCGAGGCCCGGCATGACGCACAAAAAAAGAACCAAGGGTGGGCTGCTGAATTGGAGAAGGCTGACGCTCAGCTTGAGCTTGAGCCTCTGAAGCAGCAGCAACTCGTTGCCCAGCAATAGCTCCTGCATGCCCATGGTTGGTCACGGGTTTTCAGCATGACTGTTTTTGACATGTCTCTGAGCAGCTGTTTTGCAAGTGAACTGCCGGCCGCGAAGTGGTCTGCACAGGGTTTCTCACTGACTGTTTCCGAACTTTGTGAGTTCTCAGCGCTCTCAAATTTTTCCACGGACCTTCGCCACACATGTCGCAAACAATGGGAAAACAACTTCAGCAGCTGGAGGCTGCGCAGGCTCAACAGGTGGAGCTTCTGTATCGACCACAGAGCTGCGCAAAGTCGGCAAATGTTTGGCCGGTATGGCTAGGAACACTTCTTTCCAGTTGCCAGCAAAGTCAGAGAAACCAGGAATCAAAGCAGTCAAGTCGCGATGCAAGATATGCAAAAACTTTGGCGCAAAAGTGGTTGGCGTTCCGTTGTGAACACTGTTCTTGAGTGCTGCAGAGCAGCCTAAACAGTGTTGCCAGCTCCAACCGCACTTGTCCTTGCTGCGCAGCAAGGAGGGAACTTCTGAGCCAAAGAAGACGCCGAACACAAAGTTCAGAAGAAATTGTGGCAAGGTGGGGCCTTGTGCGCAAGCTACTCAGTGTCACTGATCTATGCTGATTAATTGTCACCAGCAACAGCTCCAAATCCGTCGCGCCCAAAAAGGCGGCGGAGCAACAAACCTCGTGCCTGTTCAAGGTGGTGCTCGTCAGCACGGGTAATGGGGCGCACCTCCAAGGCCGACAGCAAGGACTCGTTCACCATAGCCTTGAAGACCAGGGCTTTGCGCCGTGACGGCACTGTCCGCTTCTTGAAAAATTAGCAAACCGTGCAAAACCAGCTTTGGCAGAGTTGATTCTTTTCTGTATTTCTGCAGGATGGCTTCCATTGGCTTGTATCAAAGCACCAAGATACTTCACCTGCAGCTTTGGTGGGTATCCGGACCAAGAGCCAGAGAAGGCAAGCCGGGCAGAGTTGTACGCACCGGTCCCGCTGAAGTGCAACAAAGTTTCCCCTTTTCTGTCATTGAGCTGCAAACCTCTGGGTGCAAGGAGTTGCCGGAGAGCTTCACGGTTTTGCTCATCTTGGTCTTGAAGGGCCTGCAAGGAGTTGCCGGTTGTAGTGCGCACCAAATCATCAGCATAGGCAGCAACTCCAGGCTGATGGAAGGCTCCGTTGTACTCCACTGTCACATCAACTGGACCAGGTGGACCTTGAGCTGTCCATTGGGTGATGCAGTCATCGTAGGCCACCCTGAAAAGCCGAGGGCCTGTGCCACCTCCTTGCAAGACTCCAGTGTTGAGCTTCATCTGTATGCTGCCACCCTCCTGCAAAGGCAGACTGATGCGGAGCCGTTCATGCAAGTCCAAAAGGAGTTCCCCAGCGGCATCTGGAAAGTTTTGGCTCTGGATGGCAGCCGCAATGTATGGCCCTTTCAGCGTGTCGAAGGCCTTGGTCAGGTCAAACAAAGTAGTTACCGTGGAGAGTTTGTTGGCTCGAAGTCTATCAAGCCATGCCTCAACTTGCAGGATGGCATCTCTTCTGGATCTGTGGGCAGCATAGCCATACTGATAGTCTGCAGGACTGTCAATGCCCAGCCCCAGCAGTGCTTTGTGAAAGAGTTTCCCTGCAGGATCCAGCAAGTTGATGATGCGCTGTCCATCGGAACCCGGAACTCCTCCCGGTTTGGGCAACACACAGCCTTGCCCATCGCACCAACTCTGCGGGTTGCAACCAAGCCATTGCATTTGCTCAAAAAATTGCACTGAGAGAGGACCGGTCAAGGTGTCAGGCCCAAGCAGCAACTGCCAAAGCTCTGCAGGCAACGCTCCGTCTGGAGTTGCTTTGAACCTTTTTTGGGATTTGGCCGCAAGCCAAAGTTGGTGGAGGCCAAGTTGGCCACGCCGCGGAATGTCAGGGAAAATTCTGTTGGGGCCAGGTGCCCGGTCCACCACTGCAGCGTGATGCTTTTCTGCTCCCCAGATCTTTGCCACGTGTGTTTCCCATTGTCGCGCAGAAGTGAGCTGCACCGCAGGTGGAGCTCTGCTGCCGGCGCAGGCAGCCTGCAGAAGCCCCAAGCTGTTCTGGAGTCATGCATGTCAACAGCAAGTTGCAAATTAGATTCAAGCCGTGCATCCCAGTTGGCATTGTCAGTTTTGACGGCCTGTTTGGCTGCAGAGGCGGGCCGCAAATATTTGCAAAGCATGCTCCATAATTGAAAGTAGAACCAGTGCGTCCCTTGTCTCAAAGGTTGGTGGCACCAGCCGCCAGCAAGGGTGAGCAGCTCTGTTTGGTATTGCCGTTTGTGTCTCAGCAAATCAAAAGTGGCAGGCAGCAGCTTCTCGGATTTCTGTGTAGGTCGCAAACCAAAATGGCGAACAGCCACCTCGTGAAGTTGCCCGCTTAAGGCAGTCCAAAGCTCTTTGCAAATCCCAAGCTGTGCCGATGCCTACTGCAGAGCCGACAAAAGGTGCCCAAGCTCGTGATGCATCCTCCAGGAAGGCTTGGGCAACATGAGGGTCATCTAGAGCAACTTGCAGTGCATGTTTGTTCCAACGAGTCGTTGTGTTGCGCTTGCGCAGCAATTTCCATGGTTTCGGCAGCCTCACGTGAACTTCGACAGGCCAGTGATCTCGGACCAAAGACATTTGCCATCTCCTGCCCAGTACCTGGTTGACACGGCACAATGCAATTTGAGGCCGTAGTTCTTGTGGAATAGCAATGAAATCGATGCAGTGGCTGCTTGACCCATCGGGTGTCCAGCAAGTCGGGCCGCCTCCTGTGAAGGTGTTGGCCAGGATGAGCCCAGAAGCCTCGCATGCATGCATCAGCGACGATCCATTGCTGTTGGTGACCAGAACTCCTGTATGAGCTGCTGCACTTCTCTGTTCCATCCTCTGTTCCATCTGCTGCATCAGCTGGCGCTTGAGGCGGAAGCTTGGCCCTTTGACGAGCAGCGGCCGCAGCCGGTGACGCTCCTGGATGCAGCAGACTTGCATGAGAGAGAGAGAGAGAGAGTACCTTCTCATTTTGACGCATTTCTGAGTGATTGTGGCATCTCTCCACGAGTTCCACGTGCATTTTGATTCGTTTCTGAGTCCTTCTCCTCCTATCCTTGAGTTGCACGAATTGTTCGATGTTCGTGTTTTTTGTTGTTTCACAGAGAGAACAGCAGAACTGCATTCCACAGAATTTCAGTCTCTTCAGAGTTTTTTTGCGGCGGCGCGCACCTGGTCTCGCGAAATCATGGTCTCGCGCCTGCCTGGTTGGAGAGGCCTGAGTACATTAGATGTTTCGCACCACCACAAGTTTTAGGCAAACCCCGGATTTCTGATGCTTTCTGATGCCGTTTCTCGTTCTGTTGGCGCAAATTATTGAGGGAATCAAAAATTGTGCTGGTTCGATCCCGTTTTTGCTGGGTAAGTTCTCCCATTCTCGCTCGTTCACGCTATTATGAAAACCAAAAACCCTTAGCATGTGGAGCATCCTGCGCATATACTTCGTTTGGAGAGGCCTGAGTACATCTTTCACAAAGTTGGCCCAACGCTCCAACAGCTCAAGTTCAAGTACGAGTTTGCCTGGGCTCTTCTCCATGAGCGTCCCTTCCTCCGCAAGCTGATCCAGACGTTGCATGTAAAGCTCATCGGCTACGTCTTTGGCCAGCTGGGTGTGGAGAAGTGCATCCGGAACAGTATCTTTCTTCTCCCAAGCGTGTGGGGATCGCGCATGTCTTTACTGCAGTGCAGTACGCGGGGACAGATGACAGTGAAAACCGGCATGACCGGCCTACCTCTGGTTCCGGGGGGCTCCGACTGGTGCAGGTCTCGATGCCGCCAATATGGCAAGGAACAAACAGCCCTTCAAGGACCACTGCTTCTGCGACACCCTGGTGATGGCGGTCTTCTGTGCTGAGCTGGAGAAAGCCAAAGTCGTGGAGCAACTTCCCGAACACACAGGAATGCTAAAAAGTCGAGATCCTCGATGAGGTGCTGGCAGAAATCAAACGCCTTTGCGCTTTGACTCTGGAAGGCTTGCACGCAATGCGGCTGAGGCTGAAGCTGAAGAAGATGTTGAATTGGGCGAGCTAACACAAGCAGGAGTCACCAGAATCAGCTGGCTACTGCTGAAGCTCAAAAGTGGCTTTGTCTCCGAAATGGTAAGCTAGCGTCAGCAAGGCCATTCGCAGTCCTCCAACATATTATTCTGCTGCAAGACACTTTGAAATACGCTAGTTGAAAGAAGTGTTCAAATGGTCCGCAGGGTCATTTGTCTCTGTCAAAACAAAATGGCTAAGCAGACGCTGAGCTCTTCGACACGTCCACACAGAAATTCAATGCAAGTTGAAAAGTGAAAGCTTGCTTAGACCTATAGCTGCACGAAGTAGCAGCCGAACAATCGGCCTAAGAAGCTGGAACTTCGAGCCACTGCTTCACCCCTTTGTTTAATTCATATATATCAACCCCTTAAAAGAAGATCGTACATTGGAACTTTGGTCTCAGTTTCACCTTGTTGATCTTGCACCCTGGGTCCTACAAAGAGATACAACGTGGCTTAGTGTAACGTAGCCCGTACAGCCAGTGCAGTGTAGCTCAAGGGCGAACCGAAAGATACGTCCAGTAGGCACCCAACTATGCTGAAGCAGTAGCAGTCTCCAGGGACAATGGAAAACATCCGAACGCAGTGAAAAGAATATCTCGAACTTTGCACCATTTTGCTCCGGTCATGTGGGTCATGTGGACGCCCAATCATCCAAATATTCAAATTTTCCAGGACCATGACTCTGGTAGGTCCAGACCTGAATTTTTTGAGGGTTGCGTGTTTGGGAGAGGTTGATTGAAAGGTGCGAGTCTAACATAGCATGATAGTATGTTTCCAGGGGGTTCTTTCATTGCGTGAAACCTTCGACTGTGAGAGCATGAACTGTTTGGCAAAAAACATCACAGGGTGGATCGCCCATTGCGCCTGTCTATGCCGCTGAGGCAGTCTGCTGAATGTCTACGTGGCTCACGCCATGATGATGTCGAGGCAGAGAGATGACTGATTTTGTTGCCTTCCACCAGCATTGCAAGAAGGCATGGATTTGAATTGATTTGAATGCAATGTTTCGACTTTGTTGCAGCCTATTTTCTTTCCAGCTTGAAACAGCTCACCAGTACTGATGACTCGCAGCTGCATGTGGGTCCTGCGAGGTTGAAAAGTTTGAACCATGACGAGGCTCGGAGCCACCTTTGGCAAGAAACGAGAATATAAAACATCAACTCCGTTTTGGTGTTTTTTCTACTGGATGCTCACCAAGGCCATGTTCAAGATCTGTTGTTGTTTCGTTCCCGAAAACGTCTGAGCGAAGGGTTCTTCTAAAAGCGGAGGTCTGCTATACATCTTCACATGCTCACATCTTCACATCCTCACATGTTCACATACTCACATCTTCACATCTTCACAAACTCACAACACACATACTCACATCTTCTTACCTTCACAAGCTCACATCCTTCACATCTTCACATCTTCTTCTTACCTTCACATACTCACATCTTCGCATCTTCACACATCTTCACATCTTCTTAGCATCACATCCTCATATCCGCACATCTTCACACATCTTCACACATCTTCACACATCTCTCTCTCTCTCTCTCTTGCCCTCTGTCACGGTCTCTCTCCTTCTTTTTCTTTTCCAAGTTTTTTTTCTCAAGGCCGCAGGGAGTGCCGACGAGGCGCCACAATATTGCCACCCTTTCGCACGAAATGAGGTTCGGGTGTCATTTTTTTTGCGATTTTACTTTGTGGCGGCGGCGGCAACCCTTTCGCACGAAATGAGGTTCGAGTGTCAAAAGCTGAGGATTTATTGCGAGCTTGTTTGGTCCAGCGGTGGCGCTTTCGCCTTGTGTGTAAAAGTGTTTGTGTGTAGAAGCGTTTGTGTGTAAAAGCGCTTTTGTGCAAAAGCGTTGGTGTGTCAAAGCGTTTGTGTGTCAAAGCGTTTGTGTAGAAGCGGTTGTGTGTAAAAGCGTTTGTGTGTAAAAGCGTTTGTGTGTAAAAGTGTTTGTGTGTAAAAGAGTCTGTGTGTGAAAGCTTCTGTGTGTAAACGCGTTTGTGTGTAAAGGTTTCTGTGTAAAAGTGTTTGTGTGTAAAAGCGTTTGTGTGTAAAAGTGTGTGTCTGAAAAAGTGTCTGTGTGTAAAGGTGTTTCTGTGTAAAAGCGTTGTTTTGTGATTAAAAGGGGGTTGTGCGTAAAGGTGTGCATAAAACGGTTCATGTGTAAAGGAGTCTGTGTGTCCAAAAACCTTTGGTGTCTAAAAGGATTTTATGTGTAAAAGCGTCTTTGTGTGTAAACGTGTTTGTGTGCATAACATCTGTATGTAAAAGCGCGTGTGTGTGTGTGTGTAAGTTCTTGCGTAAAAGCATGTGTGTGTGTGGGGCATCTTTGTATGTATGAGCATGCTTGTATGTAAAAATGTCCGTCTCAATTCTTCTTCCTGCCTCTCCTTAGTTTCATCTTTCTTTTATTCCTCCTTCAGTTTCTTCATACGCACCTACTTTTCACAACATGTCTGCACCATGCCTCTTCATTTTAGGCATCATCGTACATTTCTATACTTATGTTTCATGCTTTAAGATCTTCATACTTATACCTTTCAATATGCTCCTCTACGCTCTGGCACATACAAGATCTGTGTCCCACTGGTATTTTGCAAGGCTTGTCGAAGCGCCTGAAAGCCAATTGTAGTCTTGCGAGCCTCTTCTCAAACCACGGAGCAACTTGCTCGTCGTCAGGACACAGCAGCAGACCCGAAGGAGGAAGAGGAAGTCCGAGAGGAGCTGGCACAGCATGACAAAGCCATCACAAAGTGAAGGGAAAGCGAAAGCAGGAACTAAATCAGCGGCCACATGATGCGCTAAATATGCTGGAAGCCTGAGGAGGAAGATGCAACAGAGGAGGTTCAAGAAGCCGCTTCCTCGTGGGCAAATGCGGGCACCGTTGTGGGGAAATTTTGAGTTTAAAGCGGGCTCTAGCTGAGGTTCCAGAAATCCGGGTTTGCCTTTGCAATACCATACTCTGTAATTTTGATGGCAAACGGCTGTGGAACTTCGAAGTGCTTCAAAACCACAAGGCGGGAGAGACAAGAGGCGAACATGTTAAGATGTTTAAAAGAGCCTCTAAGAAAGTCTAAGATGCGTTTTTGGTGCTGCCCTGGTACTTGCATGGTCCTACTCAGTCCAGGTATTTTCGGGGGCGTCCACGCAATGAGTTTCGCCCAAGGAAGAGGAGGAGCATCATGAAGAGGACTGGCAGGACGAGGAAGAGCATTTCGAGCACCACGACGATCACGACGAAGAAAGGGACGAGAGCGATGAGGAGCTTAGAACTCAGCACAACTCAGAACAATTCAGCACAGTTCAGCTGGAAAATTCATGTTTTATTGCGCCCCCAAGATTTTGGTGATTTTGCTGCAAGATCAACAAAAAGCAACGTTGCATCCCTGCATCTCTGCTGGGTGCAATTCCGTCGCTGCTGAGTCCGGACGTGATCCGTGAGCAGATCGCGCAGCTGCAGGACCACGAGGGCGCCTGCACGGCTCACTGAAGGTTGAAACAGTCAAAAAGCTTTAGGCAGAAACGGTCGAAAAGCAGTTGTAAAATAAGGAGAACGGTCGAAAAAGGATATCATTTCTGAGTCGGGAATTTCAAAAAGATCGTGGGAATGCATGCAGGAGAAGCTGGCCAGAGTGCTTGCCCGCAGGGGTGAATGAGAGCCCGCTTGGAAGCTGGTGACAAAAGGTTTGACGATGCTCGAAGGTTAACTTGAAAAATTCGGGACCTTTTCCTGTTTTCCTTCTGCCAGAGTTTAAAGGACCAGAAGCACAGATGACCCACACACTAGACTAGAAAATGATCACTCAGTTGGGAGTCGGGAGTTGAATCCCACCATGCAAAACAAAGCATGACCTTAGGGGTTCTTGGCTTAGCCCCATGCCGCATCGGTAAAGATCACAAGCGTCTTTGACATATTAAACAACAGCGTCATAGCATAGACCAGAGGAGGCTTTGACATATAAACCAACAGCAGCAGAATATATTCGCAGGTACACATCCATGGCCGGTGGATGCTTCCCTCTCTGATGCGTAGCTTGGTTGGACAGAGTAGCATCAGAGAGCTTTGCCCCCCTGCGGTAGAGGCCCTGCGTCAATTCAGATGTTACACACACACACACACACAACAGGCCCAGGCTAGCAGAAAACAGATTGTCAGATTGTGTTTGAACACAGTCCGAAGGAGATTTCAGAAAATGGTTTTGCCAGTTCCCAGTCGGTCTAGGTTCACTGGTTTTGAGGCATGCTAAAAACATGCACATGGCCGGCTGGTGATATGCACATTTAAGGATCTGAAGACAATTTCATGCTATCCACTGGCAAGTCCGAAAAGCAGCCCTTGCCCATCGGACCATCCCCATCGAAGATGTTCCCAAACCTAGGCATGAGTCAACTGCTCGGCGCACAGGTTTAGTATAAGCTGAACCGTTTTCGCACATCACACACACACTTGCTCAGAAACAACATTGCGAATTTTGTTGTGGAGTGCATCACACGTGCACAAAACAATCCCTTAAGAACTGCCAGGAAAGATTGGTTGATCCAGCGGGAATTTCAGTGCGAAGTAAACTTTCTACGTCCTTGCTCTGAGGAAGGTTCTGGTGTAGCTGAACCAGTTGTAAATAACCAAATAAATCCAGATTGCGACAACAGTGCAGTAGGCAACCCTCAAGCGGAAATTATCGACGTGCCGGTTCTTGGCTTGGCCGGTTGCCATTGACGACAAAATGAAAATTGGCAAATTGGAAAATTGCAGGTACGTCGGGATGATCAGTCCCGATATCACAATCTCAAACCACCGTCTTCGCTGGGCAGTGGATGGAATGAGATTCACTGCCCCCCCTGCACGTAAGAAGTAACAGCAAAAATTCGAAATTCAACCAAGTTTGAGCCACAGGAAGTTTTACATCTTTTCAGATGTTCCACACACACGCCTCGCTGCCGCGAGGCTTTTTTCAATTTCATCCGCAATGAAAGCTCTTATCCGTTCCCTGAAGCGGAAATGGCTTCAAAATACAGGGAAGAATCATCGAATGAATTAATCCTAAAGCTCACAGGCCGTCATCAGGTAATGCCTCCATGCGTCGTGCCTGGTTAGACAAAGTCCTTGTAGATTCCGCCAAGTGGCTAGCAAGATGAGCCAAGTCTGCCGCCGAGAAGATCTGAACTGGGTGTCGGGAAAGATCTCCTTCAGGATCCTCCAGACGTTCGAGTATGGCCATGTTGGCCTCCCGGTCATTGTTGAGGATGTTCCAGAAGAACGTTGCCAGTTGATGAATCTGGACAGGAGGTGGATTGATGTCAGCATTGGCAATGAGAGAATCGGTGTCATCCATGACGGATTCTTGTGCCGATTCAGGGCTTCCTGGAACTTCAGCTTGATGGGGACGCCAGTTTCCATACGGAGAGGTCTCAGGGATCTGAAAATAGCGTCGCCAGTAGTTGGCGAGCTGGGAGGATTGATCCCATGAATCAATCCAGCCATTCTGGCCGGCACGAACATGGCCGATGATGCCGTTGAAAAAATATTCAGGCTGCCTATTGTGATGGCGGCCACGTCGATCCACTTCCGTCACCATAAGTCGGCGAATCGCCGGTTGGGTGTCGTCTTCTGAAGGTGATTGGACTTCCACAAAATAGTATGCATGGAGCTGACGTCGGACTTCTTCCATCTCTTGCTGGAGTGGATATGATTCCCCTGTAGGAGTAGGTAGAATTGGAGCTTGATGATCGGCAGGAGATGGTATGGGTGTGGCAAGATTTGCCGAAGAGTACCCATAGTGAGGTGTATACTCACCTGATCCAGTAGGTGAGAGGGAAATTCCAGCTTGGGGAGCATTGTCGCCACGGGACGGATGCAACGGATCCGAAGGAGCAGCAGTGCTACTGGATTGGCCATGACTGCGAGATCTCCATGAAGGACGACGTGGCTTGCTCATGGAGGATGAAGGATGCGTGAGACCGGCAAATGAGGAATCACGCTTGGTCATGGTACAGCTGGAGCCAAGAGCTACAGACTTTAACCGGTAAAATTCACCAACAAGCAAAAGCAAAACCACACCTGAGAACGGGACAGTCCCATGTCCCTACATGCATGAGACTTTTCAACTTAAGGAAGCATGTTGCGGTTTGGAAGAGCCTCATGGCAACTCAGGCGCATGATGTAAGGCTGAATGTGAGACGTAAAGGAATGAATGTGATGTGAAAAGAACTCACTATGTTCTTGTCCCTCAGTCCAGTGAGAGCGGTAGGCGTTCAGATAGGTAACGAGGTATTCCTCGTTGCGGAGAACAAATGTATCTCCAGTATCGTCTTGCCATCTGATGTCCATAGCTGAAGGAGACAAAAATCGATCCCACGTATACCAGATGTGCTGGCTGATGCAATACAACAAGTTGTACACCGTGAAGGTTTCCAACCGGTGTGTATTGAGCAGGATATTGAATGTGAACAATGCACGTTCTTCGACCGGAGTGAGGCGAGGGAGAACCTCACATGTTGTAGCGGCCATCGAGTCATCATGGGTTTTGTTCATAAGCGGACGAACTTGTTCAATGTCAACGATGACCAAGACCTTTCGGACTTGAGGAGCAGGAGGAGGTTCTTCAGGTCGAGGATTTTGTTGCCAATCATGTTGCTGAGTGCGACGGTTCTGCCACATATTGTCGTCCCGGGAGCGGGAGCGTTCAGAAGCTGTTCGTTGACGATGATATGAATGAGCCATACTTGCTGTGGGTGAACAGACACACCGAATAAGAACATTCATCCCAGGCAAAGGAAAGACAGACCAACAAAGGAGAGAACCCCAAAGGAAAGACAAGAAGAAAAGCAAAAGGAAGGAAGGAAGAGAAGAAAACAAGTCTTCAACAGCCCCAAATGAGGCAGCAATGACGCTTTTTTTGACATCACAGGAATTGATGCTAGAGTCAGTCATCACCCTCAAGTTCATGAGGTGGGTTTCCTGGACCCGGTGGGTCATTCACTTCTGATGTCTGTTTCAAAAGTCCCCAGCGTAGCTTACAGAGCTGAGGATCTCGATGGAGTCTCGCTCCAATCGTTTTCCACGAAGGTCTGGGCTTTGTGTCCTGTTTCATGCCGATCAATTCTTGGTCGTCTGCGTGGGTCCACGGACGAGCCGGATCAGGAGGTGTAGCAGCAGGAATAGCATGAATGATGTGCATCTGCGGAGACGGCGGAGCTTTTGGATTGGGAGTCAAGGTGAGAGGAGGTGTTCTGGGTCTTGCTTTCCCACCAGGAATGTAGCTGATGTCCTCTCTTGACGCAGCTTCACCATCGGAGTCATCCGAATTCATGTCTCCTGAACGGGCGTCTGAAATAATGGGTAACGAGGTCGAATGGACAGCATCAAGATTGTGGGCGAGTCTAGGTTCAGGAATGGACTCCCCTTTCTGTTTCTTTTTTGGTTGTGGGTCCACCAGAGATGGTGACCGTTGTTTTGAACGCACTGGAACAGGTGTGGTAGTGCGTGTTGGTGCCGTAGGGAAGGTAATCGTTGTTGTGGACCCAGGAGTCGGAGTTGGACCAGGGTCCGTCATAAGACTGGCAGGTCGAGATGTACCCGTGGTGAGAATAGATGTATTGATTGGTGGAGAGCTTGTTGATGCCGGTCGCAGGAACGGTTCTGGATTCAATACCATGTGGGAAGGGATGCCGCCATGTGAGACCAAGGTCGGGGGACCTTCGGATGTCGGACGAGGTACAAAAGTGTGCAGGCCTCTGGTGTTTGGATGATCAAGACGGAAATTGGCCGGAGGCGGCGCTTCATCATATTCAATGGAGGGCTCGAAAAAAGGCAAAAGCCCTGCCAGATAGTTGAGATGCATAATAGCTCTAGCCAAATGATGATGGAACGCTCGCCCTTGAGCATGATCCATGAGCGATCAAACGAAAACGGAGCAAAAGGAAAGCGGAGCTTGAGCCAGGAAGCTGAAAAAGAGAAACAAGAGACCACAGAGAGCCAACAACCACGAGAAGGGACAGGAAGAAACCAGAAACAAGAAAGAAGAAAAACAGCGGGAACACACTGAAGAGAACCCCGCGACAAAAGCAACAGGAGAAATTTTTGCGACCAGCGAACTCGAGTTCTGATGCTGAATCAAAAGTTGGTTGGAGATGGCCTGAAGTTCCTCATTGGGAAAGCCAGCTCGTACATATAATCGAATTAGTTGGGAAAAGCCTTGTTGGACACGTAGGGATGGAAAAGCTCCCTTGATGACGATGTGACATCTCGACCGAAAGCCGCTGAGCAGGACCGAAGGAGGTGAAGCGGAGAATGGTGAGAGAACTTGTGACACCTGTGTTGGTCCCTGGTAAATCAATTCAAGCGGCTTTGTTTCGATCATAAAGCCCAGGAATTCTTGGTCTGGCTCAGTTTCAAGGATAATAGGTTTTCCATAGAAGCCATCGTCCAATAAAACTTCATATGGCTCAAAGGAGGTCAGGCGTTTGTCACCGAAAACGAGGCGATTGTCAACGTAGCGGACATGTTTAATGAACAGGTGATGATTGGAGAGAAGTTGGTGGAAGGTGTGATACCAAATCTGTTCACTGATGGAGACGACCATGAGACATAGGGCAGGAGAAAGAGGACTGCCCATGGGACTGCCTCGGCGTTGACGGATGCATCGTTGTCCCAAGGCGAATGTCTGCATATTTGCAAGGCTGACTTGATCAAATCTGGCACATCGCCGACG